GGAAACCAAGATTTTACTCCTGGAAGAGCAGACTCTGTATTTAAGCAGTGGGCCTTAAAGGGAATAGATAAGATTCATGATTTGTATCAAGCAAATTCGACTTACATGATGTCTTTTGAGGAACTCAGGCAGAAATTTAATATAGATAAAAAATACTTCTTCAAATACCTTCAGCTCAGAAGCTACATTAGGACAAAAAACAAAGATTTGTCCAAGCCACCAAAGTCCCAGTTAGAGGAAATTGTTTGCAAGTATAGCACAAGTAAAGGTGCGATTTCAGAATACTATAACTTTATGGTTTTGAATTCATCAGAGGATTCAACACGGAAACTAGAAGCCTGGAAATTAGACCTGGGAATAAACCTGTCACTGGAAGATTGGCAGTCTGTCTGTGCAAAGGCTCAAAAGCAAACTGTTAACTCTCGCTTAAGGTTACTGCAATACAAATGGTTAATGCGAATCTATATTACACCAGTCAATTTAAATAGGTACAACCCTAATATACCAGATATATGCACAAAATGTTTAGAAGAAAAGGGGACTTTGTTTCATTGTATTTGGAAATGTACGGAAATTCAAAACTTTTGGAAAGCCATAAGAAGAACTTTGGAACACCTTGTCTCTAAAGTTGTTGCACTTGATCCTGCTTTTCTAATTTTAGGTTTGTACCCTAAAAATACTTTGTTTACCAAAAGTGAACAATTGTTGATTGATATATGTCTACTACAGTCTAAAAGGCTGATAGCACTATCCTGGAAGAGAACACCAGGACCAGGTATCAACCAATGGATTAAGCAAATGCTGAAGACTTTACCTCTGGAACGCATAACGTATCTCCAGAAAGGGAAAAGCGATCTATTTGAAAACATTTGGAGACCCTTCCTGAATTTTGTTGAAGGAGTGGACATATCTCACAATGACGAAACCAGTTAGAGACAAGTTTAATGTCAAAACACAATGTGCAACAAGGGAGCCTCAACAGTGGACTATTTTCTCCTGTATACTTAAAGGAGTCTATGCAGATATGTATCTAAGAGGGTGTTCGTAGGTCCTGTTTACTGTACTGGTTATGTGGCAGGTGTATCTGTAAAAAAAAAAATACAATAACATTTTTGTTGGAAAAAAAAAAAAAAGATCGTTACTGCGTTTTTAAAAATCAATTTGATATCAGCATATGAAAATATATTTGAGTATATTATTTTTCAAAGTGTCAGAAATGGATAACAAAACTGCTATTTTCAATGACTACTTATTTTTGTCCAGCTTTAACATCGGTATCGATATCGGTTATCGGCTACATGAGTTTTAAAATATCGGCATATCGGATATCGGCCAAAATCCCAATATCGTGCATCCCTAATATAAAGGTATCAAGCAGAACTTGGTTTGTTAGTGAAAGCAAATGTTGGGTATTGCTTCCCAGAGCGATTTTGGACACATTAAGTTTGCAGGAATGTGTGAAAAGTTGCATTAGTGGCTGAATGGAAAACAGTGTCAAGAATTTATAAGCGGTATTTGGTTCCATTCTATAAATGATGTTATATCCACAATTGGCAGCACTGTCATCTTATCCACGGTTCCTGTGGCGGCATGAAGGAAAGAGGCCTTATAGAAAAGCGGAGTCTGACTTTGACTTTTGCTTAAAGGTTTGAAGGGTATGAATCCAAACAAAATCGGAAGGATTTTTTTATGTTTAAATGTCTTTTTTTCGGGAATAAAAGCTGCTAGTTTTTTCCACTCTTTGAACTATGCAGCTTTTAAGAAGTTGAAGTTTTTATGTGGATTTTTTCCAACCACCAGAGGTGGAGTCAAAGTTGGAAATTAAAGAATAAGGACCAAATTTTATGTTTTTATGAGTTTATTCTTGTATTTAAAAAAAAAAATCACTAGCCTAGACCTTATACTCTGTCGTAAAATTTGTCAATATTTATTAATGGATATTTATGACCTACAAGGTTTGTGGTTGTAATGAGATAAAAATGTGAAAAAAAAATGGTCTTAAAATTACTGCGGGGAAAGTTTTGGGGGAATTCTGCAAAAACTAAAAACTAAAAATCAACTTTACTAATTTTAGCTTAAAAAGCTTGAAAAGCTGCTGAATCCATTTAAACTTATTTTGTGAGTCAGTGGGAGTTCAGCAGATGACTCCATTAAAACCTCTGTCAAACCTTTGCTGTCCAGCAACCTGAAGTGAAGGCTAATTAAACGGACCGAGCTGAAATCTCACAGCTCCAACAATTAGCCGCAGCTTTCAGGCCATCATTCCCACATTTTCTGTTTACCCCAGCAGCAGACAGTCCCTCTGCAGAAAAAAAAAGACACCTCATGAAAATGTCACATGCAATTAAAACAGGACGGAAACACTCAGCCTCTAAATAATTCAGACAATGGAGCGTGATCTGAGAAGTGCGATGCTCCCCCCTCCTCGCTATTTAAAAAAGCCTGCTGCTTCCTTTCAGTAAATATTTCAATAATGTTCCAATTACTGTATTATATACACTTTACTTTATGTTTTATTCTATTAAGGCTGCGAGGAGTCTATTCCTTTAGTTAGCAGCAAAGTAGGCGGGTCTTAAAGTCCCCAGAGGGAAACATGGGTTCCCAGGTCGGGGGGGTGGGGGGGGGCGTGGGCGGTGGTGGTTGGGGTCCTATGGGGTCCTATTTTTTTTTATAATCATTGTAATGTGATGCCTGAAGTACATGGAAGGCCAAATTAGAAGAGGAAAGTAATTAGTGTCAATAATAATTAATAACAAGTAATTAAATCTGGAAAAAATCACACAAAGAGAAAAGACAATTAGGAGAAATGTATTGATGCAACTACTTTATAATTTGGGACCTGTCCATGATGAGCAAGCATGAGGCGACAGTGGAGAGGAAAAACTCCCCTTTAGGAAGAAACCTCTGGCAGAATCAGGCTCAACCACGGCGGTCTGCTGCTGGACCGGTTTAGATGAGACAGGGAACGCAGTAAGAGTCCTTGTTCTATGCCATAACCACCAGGCCACCACTCCCCAAAAAGCTCTCTGAGGCTGGGAGGCCTGTCTGCGTTTTACCGCTGCTGTTTTTAGCCACTCGAAGTGAAAATAAAGGCGATTCTGTTTGTGGTTTTGGGTTAAAATGTACCAGAATATGAAATTGCAGTTTTTTTCACCAGAAGCCCTTGCAGCAAGAAGGTTCTAGGTTCGATTCTCGGCCCGGGGTCTTTCTGCCTGGAGTTAGCATGTTCTCCCTGAGGGTGCGTGGGTTCTCTCCGGGTACTCCGGTTTCCTCCCACAGTCCAGAAACACTGTTAGGTTAATTGGCTTCTCTAAATCCTCCTTAGGTGTGTGTGTGAGTGGTTGTTTGTCCTGTTTGTCTCTGTGTTGCCCTGCGATGGACTGGAGACCTGTCCAGGGTGGACCCCGCCTCTCGCCCACTGACCTTGCTTGGGTTAAGCGGGACGGAAAATGGATGGATAATTTATTGAATGTATTGATGTATAGGGGGATCCAGTTAATTTTTTTATTTTTGTTTTTTAGGTCAAAGATTGAAATGTTTGGGAACTCCTGCTGATAACTGGAATTGTCATTGATCTTAAATGCTCTACATAGTATCAAATGGATCCTTCCTTACCATAGATTGTTTATGTTTATATATATGTCCCAACCCTGGTTCTACAACCTCCAAATTAAAAGTAACAACCAGAGGGAAATGGATTAGTAAAAAAATTATACATTTAAGTAAGTGCATTTTTCTCGTTATCTTCTGCAGGCCAGTTAGTTCTACGTCAGCCTGAATACCTAAGTTCCGCCAATCATATATCAACTTTCATCTGTCAATCAAATGTTTTCAGTCATAGCATCTTGATTTATATGTCGCAGCTAATATACACAATGGTTGAACTCAGATCCTTTCCTTTCCCATTGAGTTGCGTCCCAGTGTTCACGGGGATGGACGTCTGTATCTTCGGCAGGCGTAGAGCTAACAGAACTGGCAGCGTTGCGAGGCAAGGGCTCAAACATGTACGGCTGGAAGCCTTCTACACCAAACCAAGCTTCTGCCGCCCTGGCGTCCTCTTCCACAACATCTTCGTCCTCGCTTTCCTCCTCTAAATAAAAAATGGATGACGGAGGAGACTCATCCACGACCTCCGACACTAAACTCTCCTCCTCTTGCATGTTTCCGCTGTCCATAGCGTTCCTTGACAGCGTCGCTTCTAAGTCACCAATTTAGTGCTACTTGGTTCCCAATGGAATTTCCCATTGGGAACCTGCTAGCACTAAGTTGCTAACTGGTTAGCAAGATGCTTCCGACAAACCGGCCACAACCAAACTTGCTTGCAAACCTTCTGCCACAACAATCCCTCCCCCTTGATAATCGACCAATCACATTCACTTTATTTACTCTCGTAAAGTCGGGCACCACTCGGGAGATTTAGGAAATGCAATGTTTGGAACAGCCGCTTTACTACAACTTTAAAGTCGGGCATGCACTGTACAATTTTTTGCCCTTTTAAGGCCGATTCTCTAGTTGTGCAAGAATTTTTCGATCGGGCCGACTTTCAGCCTGATGGTGCGTGGTGTACAGGGGGTAACGAGGGTCAATCAGCCTCTAACGACCACCTCCCCATCAGGAATCGTAACGTCGGAGAAAATCAAAGATGTTTCATATTCAGTCGGCCGTCTTAAGGTGGTCGTGGGCAAATCACTCAGTGGGCAAACAAGGATACTTCTTCTTCTTCCTCTCAGAGGTAAACCCAGCATCATGGCGGGGGGGCAATGAGTGAAATGGAGTTCTATCTGTCAAACTGTCAGACCGTAGTAGCCACGTTAGCTCAGCCATGTCTTTGTCCAAATACGTCATCTCCTTTTCTTTTTAGGGCTTTCAGCACTAAATTGCCCAAATATCCAAGGCAGCGCGTTTCACTCTAGTGAGCTTCATGTTCCTCTGCTACTGGGGGCAGCTTAAGGCCTGCTGTGTTGATGTTTAAGATAATTATTCTTTTTTTTTCTTCCCAGCAACACACCATGTCCGGACAGGCACCTGTGAGGTGGTGGCGTTGCATCGCTGCTGCAACAAGAACAAAATCGAGGAGCGATCGCAAACGGTGAAGTGCTCCTGCTTCCCCGGGCAAGTGGCGGGCACCACCAGAGCCGCGCCGTCGTGTGTAGACGGTACGGTCGCTCCACTCTTTCTGTTTCTGTTTTGCTGATACTCTTTCTGCGTCTTTGAGGAATAGACTTGCTGATCTCATCACCAAGTGTCAGCTCCCTGAACACTCAGCTCCAAATGTGAGAAAGCTTCTTTAAGCCTCGATGTTTTCTCAGGACACTAACCTTTCCTCATTAAATCACTGCAATAATAATTTGCACGGATGCACGTTGGACATAAAGGCTCATTAGAGGTTGAGGTGGGAAGTAAATAAACATATTTATTCATTTAGTTGGTAAATAAAAATGTATTTTCTTTAGGAGCAGGTTTTACCTCTACTTCATTAATATCTTAATAAGATATTATTTCTCTTAAGTAAAATGTCTCCATCCATTCAGAGTAACTTCACCGAATAACAAAAACTCTTCTAGACAAAGACACACAGTTAATGTTATCATTTAAATAAAAGTTTTCTTTTGTAAACAAGTTTATTTATTTATAGTAAATGTTGGTACTGGAGGTTTATTTTAAAAAGTTAATTGTTTTGAAAAGTTTTTTTTCCTCCAATTATTCTTTTCAATTTAGTTATTTGTTATTTTTTAATCATTTTATTATAGTCTATAAAATACTAGAATCTACAATTAAATGTTCATAAATGTAAAAAGCCTTTTTTGTTAGTTTTTTAGTTAGCCAGCTGTGTTTTGAAGACATGAAGGGAATTTTTTTTTTTGCTTTGTTGTTGCATTTGTAAATGGAAATGTTAAAATATGGAATTTAGAAATGAAAGTTTGAAAAACATTTTAATTTAAAGAAAAAAAAGCTTTTGAAGGAAATTTTCTCAAATTCTGTCACTTCCTTTGTTTTTAAATATGGGATCTTTATATTATTTCTTGACATTTCTTTTCAAATTTTATTAATTTTATTATTTTTTTAAACTTCCAGCCAAATGCAAACATTTGCTGTTAAACAATAAAAATCTTGTCTACATCCAGACAGACTAATAAAAAAACTTCTCTCCAGAGGAGAAAGTGTGATCTGAAAAAAACACAATAAAAAAAAAGCAATTTTAGAAACTCAATTAGAAAAAGAGAAATTTGAAAAAAAAAATTTGAAAAAATTTGAAAACAATTTGAAAAATAATTACATATAACATTTCCCTGTGGGTGTGGCCCCAAATGAAGCTGGTAAAGAGGCCTAATTAATTGGTTAAATCCAAATATTTACAATATATTTATTCTATGTCAGATTTAGATATAATATATGTATTTAGAAATAAACTCTTAGAAAATAATGTAGCATTTATTTATAGATATAGGATGTAGAAATAGATTTTTTAAATGACATTTAGCTAAATATATGTAGTTATATTCAGCATTTGTCACTAGATGTGAGCAAAAAAGCTCTAAATATGAAGAAAGTTAAGTAAAAAAATATTTATATATATATATATATTTTTTTGCTAAAATTAAACTTTCTGAACATCATTATCTGCCAGCGGAGCCCGCGGACTCGTCCCCGCGGTTCCCAGGGGCTCCGGCATGGCGGCGGCTGGGGGACTTGCTCAGGGCCGTCTCTCCTCCTCCCTTGGTGGGGGTCGGATTTCCTGGGTTGGTCCCTGCTGGGTGCCTTCACTCTTTGGGTCCCCCGGTGCTCGCCTCGGTGCTCGCCTCGGAGCTCTGGGGGGGCATGTCTTCAGCTCCTCACAACCACTATTGAGCATTTTTCCTTTGGATAAACTTTTCATGCAGTACTTGGTGTTTGGTTCCAGGTACTCAGAGATTCACTTCCACACAGAAAGCCCACATTTATATCTTCAGGTACCAAAGTATACATGTCAGATTAAATAATACTACTTATACTTCAGCCATAGTATCTAGGCGTTACTGTATTATATATCTTATACTATATCCTTTGGTTGTGTTGCTCTTTTTCCATCTCTTTGCAGGTGATGAAGCAGACGGAAAATGTTTTATCATTTTTTCCCTTTTATCTCCTCTTTTATTCATCTTTTCTCCTTTCCCCCACCTGTTTTTTCCTTTCCTGTTCTACTTACTTTGCAATGTCCAGATAACCTGTAAAACTCCCTGCATAATCCAAATAAAGCTATTTATATGCATAAATAATGCGCAACACTATGGCGATAGCCGTAATGCTCCACTTGTGAAAGTAAAATCTGTTGGGCTCTTTTTTGGCATCAAGACAATTATTCTTATTGCCACATTGCCAGACAGGATGCTGTAAAAAAAAAAGAAAAAAGGTCCATCTGAATCTGATTAAGTGCGAAAATTATTCAAATCTGACATCTTTATAAAAGCAAATATTAACTAAATGGATGGAGATATTTTCTGATTATTTTAGTCCAAGCTTAACAGGTTTTTTCCAAAAAGTAGGAAAAACTTCCCATCTCCCACAGAACCTATCCTGGATTACCACTAACTTAACTTTGTGAAACGGGGCCCAGAAAGACCACAGCGTGTTAAAAAGCTCAAACTTCATCGTTTTTCTTTAAAATGGATGAGAAAATTCAAAAGAATCCATCTGTAGTCTGGAAAATTAAAGCTAACAAGAAAATCGGGTGAAATCCAAACAGTTTTTTAAATGATTAACCCTGTAATGTCGGTTTGGAGACGTCAATGTTTTGGTGTAAAACGCCTGTACAGCATATAATCAGACATATGCAGTGAAGAGAACGTGCATAATAAATGAAACAAAAAAATGCTAAAAATTAAAATCCTAAATTATGTTGTTTGTCTTTCAACTGTCAAAATGTTCAGTGAGGAATTTCCTGACAATTATTTCACAGTTCAGACTTTATATGTTAAAGCAGAGGGCTGTGAAATTAGTTTTCATTCATTTTTATTTATCTTCATCATATAACCCCATTAGCTAGTTTCAATATTATTTTAAAAACACAAATCAGTTCAGTTCAGTAGCTTTTATTTGTCCCAGTATGGGACATTTTTGTGCAGTAGTAGTACACCTTTCACACACACATAAAAACACATGAAATATTTAAAAAAGATAAAAGTAAGGTGGATAAATAAATAAATAAATATGTGTGCATTGCAGAGGATGAATGAGAGCGTAGGCCTCTATGCATGCAACATGTGACTATCTGCTTTTCCTAGAAGAGTTTAGCAGCTAAACAGCAGAGGAAATAAAGGAGTGTTTGCATCTATTGGTCTGAGCTGGTGGATATTTAAAACCAGAGGGTGGAAACTGGAATTGGTTATATAGGGGATGGATATAATTATCCAAGATGGACTCAGCCTTCCTGATTACCTGCTCTTCATACATTTCACTCATGTTTTTCTATTCAACACCTGTGATTTTACTGCACACCTTAACACTCCTGGATATGGCATTTTTATTCTTTACATTAAGAAGAGCGGATGGCAGAGAAGGTAAGCATGGATTCTATAACAGATCTATTGAACATGGTCTATAGATCTGTCAGAGTCCTGTCAACCTGAAACCTGGCTAACTTTCTGAGGCAGTATAAGCGCCGCTGCCCTTTCTCACACAGCATGTCTGTGTTGCTGTTAATTTGTCATCTATAATAGACCATAGATATTTATACTGGTGAATAATTTCACTGTTTTGCCCATTAATGATGGTTGTAGAGGGGCTGCAGGTCTGAAATCAATATATATGTTTGTTTTAGTGAAATTCGGTTCCAGCATGGCTTCCTGGCACCAGTTTGTGAACTACTCCATGATGGGGCCATGTGCTGTATCACTGTCACCCAGCAGGCTCATAATGACAGTGTCGTCCACAAACTTGACAATGTGCCGATGGTCAGGTTCCGAACGACAGTCAACAGTGTAGAGGATGTAGAGAATTGTCATGATGTTACAAAGTTCTGACCCAAAAATGCAGAAAATGCTTGAAAGGGTCGTAGTGGAGAATAATCCCTTTCTCGGTGTGAAGCTCAAACAATCTCTTTGGGAAAGTTGATCCAAACCTCCTGTTTGAATCCCAGCTCAGTTTGAAGCTCAGTTTATCCTTCCAGGGAGAGAAGGTCCGAGAGATCCAGTTAGCAGGACAACTTCCTGCCAAGAGGCAAAGACAAAACAAAGTTAAACTCAGGTTGACTCAGCAAATTCAGCTTCGCTAGCTTATCCTAAACTGGCAAAGACTCTGGCGTTGATGTAGTGGCAGTCAGCAGCTTAACAACACTCTGTCTAACGAGGAAACAATCCGCAGGTGTGTGAGGAGGCGGACCAGAACCAGGTGCCTCCTGGTGGAGGAAGGGAGACAAATACAGAAACACAGACACAAAACAGGAGTCCTGACAAGAAGAGCCTGTAGATGTGAAAAACGGTCCAGAACGATGGTCGTTTGCTCTCACTCGCTGGGAACGGTTGGTGAGGAAATCCAGCATCCAGCCGGAGATGCTGGAATCCAGTTGGAAGCGGTTGTAGGAACTTTTGCACCAGTAGGTGAGGCTGGATGGTGTTAAAAGCTGAAGAGAAGTCCACAAACATTTATACATAAAATATATATGAACAAAATCCCAGGAAAAAGGCTTCAGTTATTCTTCTAATATATTTAGTGCATTTATCAGGTTCAGTGGGAAAATTGATTCTCAAACTTGAAGAGGAGAAAAGGTTGGCAGAGTTTTCCAGAAAAGTGGTTGACTCTTTGACTCCAGTGGGTGTGGTGTGTTCCAGTGTTTGTCTCATTCGGTGGAGGGCGGACAGGGTTTACCCAAAATGTGGTTGTTTGTAGGAGAACGAAGAAACTGACTGGTGCAGATGAATCCCTTGCTCAGTGTGAAACTCAAACGATCCCTTGGAGGAAAGTGGATCCAAACCTCCAGTTTGAATCCCCAGCTCAGTTTGAGGCTCAGTTGATCCTTCCAGGTAGAGAAGGTCCGAAATGTCCAGTTTGCAGGATCACTTCCTGCCGAGAGGCAAAGACAAAAATAGCAAGATTAAAACTCAGGTTGACAAAAACTCAGTTTGACTCAGCAAAACTCAGCTTGGCTAGAGTACTCAAAACTGGCAAACACTCTGGCGTC